CCACCTTAGGTGTACGTGGCTGGCGCCTTAGCCGGTTGAGCTATAGGCGCTGAGCCAGAACCTTTTTTTTTGGTTGTTAAATACAGAAGCCATTTCTGCCTTTGGAAGTAAACATCTCGTGGCGGAATATGTGTGGAAGAAAGATAAACTTAAAACTGCTGTATTTTTTTCCATTTGTTTTTTGGTTAAAGGAGACTGGCTAAAATAGGAATGTCGTAATAATGTTCTTCCTTCCCAAATGTATGTAATTCACTGAACTAAAGAGAGTCAGATTTCAGACTAAATTCCTGATCTCTGGGTCTGCTTCTGAGTTTACAAGAGGCAGTGAGACTGTTAACCAACATTAATGTCACTTCCTGGCTGTAAGGTTAAATTTTTACAAGTGTATGGTAGCGTTCTTTTGAAGACTAATCTTTAACAATCACATTATTTACTAATGTAGGGTTTATTTCATCTTAACACATCACCTGCCAACCATAAAATAAACTCCCAAGCTAAAAGAGCAGACTCCTTATTGTAATCCTACCTAGGGATTACAGTTCAAGTTCAGTGTGAAGGGGGAAGAGGGGATAAGAATTCTAGAAAGGGTCATAAAACCTGTCAAACTCAACACCCTTTAAAAGCTCACACCAAAACAAAATTAAAAAAAAGGAATATCAATTTATTAAGACAGAAAACTGTTTATTACAATTGATAAATTAAAAGGCCAGGTGGTAAGAACATGTATATTGCTACAGTTACATGTATGCATGTCCAAAGAACTTCCTGTCTTCACTTCTACCTAGAACAGGGTAACAAGTTGTTTTATATTTCTTTCATTAAATTGCTGCACTCTGTTATATTTAACCTTTGACTGCAGCATCCTTCCACCCTCCACATGTCGCAAGCCCCACCCCTCAACCTTCAGGGACTCTGTATACTTGGCCTAGACCCAAAGCTATTGTTGCTGGAAAAGTGATGGAGGAAATTACTCTTATTATCCCTATTTGACAGATAAGGAAGCTGAGCCTCAGAGGTGTCATTTTATAACTTTCCCAAGGCAGTATTTTAAATGAAATGTTGGCCTGGGTTTAGCTTCCTATAGATATACAGCAAATGTTCCCCTCCCAGCCTGGTATGCACACTGAGTTTCTCTAAGAATGGGGACAGATTTGTAGAAAGCCATCCCTAGTGCCTGGCTAAGTTTGCTGGTGACCCTAGAGCTGGCATGTGTGGATGACGAACAGGAATCATATTCTCAGCAGGTAAGATAGCGTCCAGGAGCCTAAGCCCTGGCCCTGCAGAGCAGCCCATCAACTTGAACATAGGGCAGCCTCAGCCAGCAGCAGTTGTCCCTACAGCTTAAGCTGTGAACTCAGTGGTATTGCTAAGGAAAAACCTGGGCTGGCCATGACTGGGCACTTTGCAAGGAAAACAAAACCCAACACTTCACCCAACAACATGAAAATGAGACAACTGATAACATTTAGGGACAGTCCCACTCTGTCCTGGCACCTTTGCATTTGCCTGGTGCACGAGGAGTCTCTTTCTCTACTTCATCCATTTGATCCTTGTAAGCAGCAGTGTTATAAAGGTGACTGCTGAAGTCCTTTAAAGAAGGTTATCACTACACATGTAAATTAGCTTATCTCACTTCCCAAATGCTTGCTGTTTCAAAGCTGGGCCACTGAGAAATGAAGCCGTGTGGGATTGGGTAGTGCTCTGGAATCATTCAGAGCAGTGGAGTCTGCACAGGGGATCCCAGGGAGACTTGCTAGCTGCACAAGCTGACTAGTCAGAAGCAAGAAATTGCCCAAAGAATAACTCGGGCAATGAATGAACCACATGAGCCCTTCCTCCCGCCAGTTCTAAGCAATTGGTAACCTACTCTTCCGGCCATAGGAGGATGTGCAGGACCACCCCTGAAGTCAGCGCCTGCCACAACAGCAGGGTTCGTTAGCTTTTCCATTAAAAGTCCTACAAAGACTGGCGAACAAGGGAGCTAGAAATATAAGGTAGTGCAGAGTAATGCACAACGCACTCAACCTCCTTCAAGGATTTCCCACTGGGCTGTGAAGGGGACCTGGGCTATAATAATAGTTTCCTCACAGACGGCCAGGGTAGCAGGGCTTGTTCTGAAACTTGAGTCAGCAGTACTAGTCCTCAGTAGGAGGCATGAACAGCTATACCGTCTCTCTTGCTAAAACCTCCAAATAAGCGGTTTCTTCCACTACAATTCTTACAGTTTCACCCTGTATCCGTCCACTATAAAATCTGCCTCCCACATCCTTAAAGGAAGAAGAAACTTTTTTTTAAACTGTGGTAAAGTACAAATAATGTTTACCATAACACCCATTTCTAAGAGTATAGTTTAGTGGCATTAATTAAGGACATCCACACTGGGCGCAGCCATCACTGCTCATCCATCCCCAGAATTCTTCTCTTATTGCAAAACCGAAAAACCCTGTACCCTGAGGTCCAGGTACTTCATGTAAGTGAAATCATACAGTATTTGTTCTATCAGTTGGAAATTGTTCTTCCCTCCACTTTAGAAAAAAAAATGAAAATCTGGTTGAAGCACATTTTTTCCCTAAATTTATTTAAAATATGCTATCTAGATCTACAGTT